CTACCTCATTTAATTTCCTGAGATTGAACCTCTTCATATGAACTCTGTGAGTTGTTTGTTTGCTCACTACCAGTTTTTTCCTAACTTTTGCCACCACCAGGTAGTGGTCAATATCACAATCTGCTATCCTGAATGATTGGACATGAAGGATACTTGAATGCCATCTCCTATCTATCAAAATATGGTCTATTAGACTGTATATGTTCCCATCAGGAGATGTACAAGTAAATTTATGGATGTTACGATGTGGGAACATTGTACTTTTGACAATAATACTTTTTGATGTGGCAAAGTTTACTACTCTAACTCCATTATTGTTACTAATTTCATCCAAACTCTCATTCCCAATCACTGGTTTGAAAATGTCTTCCCTCCCTACTTTGGCATTGAAATCTCCTAACAAAACATTCATAGGGTACTTCGGGAATTTATCAAATACCTGTTCTAGTTCTTCATAGAATCTCTCCTTTATGTCATCAATTTTATCTTCTGTTGGGGCGTGAACATTCATAACAATGATATCACACCAGCAATCTTTCTGTATTATATATGATATCCTATCACTAATGAACTCTACCCTCTTAACTGCTGATATGATTCTCTTATGTATGAAAAAACCTGTACCTAATTCAAGAATTTCATTCCCCTTTCCATAGAAAAATGTAGTCTCCTGTATCATTATTCCGAGTGCCCTCTTATGCATGCAGAACACGTTAATAGCATAGCAGACCATCAACAAAGTTTCCAAATTAACATAAGGCTTGACAGTTGCAATTGTATAACAAGCGGTGCTAAGTTTTGGTAAAAGTTGATCAACACGTTTCTTCCAGGACAAAGTGTTGGTAATAGTGATGCCTAGGAACTTTGTGTGACATGAATCAGATATCTCCTTATTACCATATGCAATTTTTAAATGATTATCTTGTTCTAAAACCTTTTTGCTGCAAATATAATATACTGTGTTTTAGAGAAATTTAAGGACAATAAATTGAACTACATATTTAAAGTTTTTAAGACTTAATTTAACCTGTTATGAAGAATATAGGGATCAGATTCACTTATGATAACAATGGTGTCATCAGCGAAAAGGATAGGGGTAGAGATCTTGTTTAAAACCGAAGGGAGATCATTAATATAGATCAGAAAAAGTAAAGGGCCCAAGATGGAACCTTGGGGAACTCCATGAGTAATATTACTTCGATCAGAGCAAGTATTCAGATTGTAATATTTAGATTGCAATCTTGTTCTTTGAAATCTTCCTTCTAAGTATGATGCTATTAGTTTGAGCATTAATCCTGAGATACCATAAAATTCCAGTCTGGATAACAAAATCTTACAGTTAACACAGTCAAAGGCTTTTTCAAGATCACAGAATATTCCTCCCACATTATATCCCTCATTGAAAGCCGTCAATACCTGATCAAACAATTTAGAAGTGGCATTATTAGTAGAAAGATTAGTCCTAAATCCAAATTGTTCCTTGACCAATATATTATTATTGACCACATGTTTATAAAGTCTATTATATATCATCTTCTCAAATATCTTTGAGAAGGAAGTCAAGAGCGATATTGGTCTATAGTTACTAATGATATTCTTGTCACCCTTTATGTATATGGGTTTTATTTCTGCAAATTTCAGGCAATCTGGAAATATTCCAGGGGTTAGCGACCTATTTATTATTTAGGTTAATGGTGAAACAATGTAGCAAATACTATTTTTCAGAATTTTTACAGGAATTTCATCATAACTACAGTCAACTCTCGATTATCCGGGCTAATGGTGGGGATGGAAGTCACGGTTAATCGAAAACCCGGTTAAGCCAAATTTTATTATACGGGCTGGACGACTGTGAAGGGTCGGAGTTCGAGTCCCGGTAGGGTCAAGAATTTTAACTTCTCCAAATCGTCCAGACCGGCTCTGGGGTCCATCCAACCTCCTATCCAATGGGTACCGGGGGCTCTTTCCCCGGGGGTAAAGCGGCCGGGGCGTGAAGCTGACCACTCACCTCCAACTAGTGCCGAGGTCAAGAAAATTTGGATCTATACATCCACTCCCCCACACGCCTTAATGGCGTAGGGCTTAATTCGTTGAGCAGAGGAACAACTTTACCTTTTACCTTTTAATACCTTCATAATACTATAGACCTACCTGTATTTAAATTTATTCATCCTCATTTCTATGTCATCTCATGGCCTATTTAATACTTTCTTTACATTACACTCAGTATGAATTAGTTATTTCAATCACTGTTCAACAACATCCAGCACTTTTTACGGTCACACTTAACACTTAAAATAATTTAATACTGTCTTTTGCTTTTTCGCGGCATTTTCCTTTTTACGGATATCCGTACGAAGCCTACGTAATATTAGCTTGTCACTTAATAAACTGTCCTCTTCACTCTCAAGATAGTCTAGTAAGGATTCCAAATGATTAAGCGCAGCACCATGTGATACTTTCTTACTGGCAACACTGTCCACCTCTTCCTCATTCTCACTTTCTTCCCGCTCTTCTGGCTGCACCCCCATTGAAGTTACGATTTCGTCACTGCTTAACATTTCGAAGCCCGGTTCACACGAGTCACAGTTAAACCACTCTCTTATATTTTCCTCGTTGACTTCTTCACCACCATGAACTTGGTTAGCCACTTTTGTCAATTTTATGGCTATCTCATTTTCACTGAATCCAGTGAATCCATGGATTTCGTCATCTTCATTAGTGATGAAAGGCATCAGTTTCTTCCATGAATTTTTCAATACAGATGGCTTTACTGTATCCCACGCTGTTGAAATCTCGTATATGGCATCTAATACTGAAAAGGACTTCCAGAAACACGTCAGATCATTGCCTTCATCGATGTACTTTTGTAGCAAATTTGATCTGTAGATTCTCTTCATACTTGAGATAACTCCTTGATCCATTGGTTGGATAAGTGCGGTAACATTAGCGGGAAAATATTTCACAAAAATATTTCCATCATCTGACCTCAGGAGACTTTCGTTAGGATGTGAGGGCGCATTGTCAATGAGGAGCACAGCTTTCTCAGGTAGGCCTTGGGATTTTAGATGGTCACGAACTTGAGGCACGAATTTAAAATCAAACCATTCTTTAAATATCGCTCTATTCATCCAAGCTACTTTCTGGTTAAAATAATGGATAGGCAGACTTGAAGCTACTGTTCCTTTAAAAGAGCGTGGTCTTTTCGCTTTGCCGATAACTACTGGTATTAGTTTGTGTGTTCCTGATGCATTAGAACAGCACAAGACTGTCAATCTCTCCTTACTGGATTTGTGACCTGGAGCCTGTCTTTCATTTTGAAATGCCAATGTTCTGGTTGGCAAGCATTTCCAATAAAGACCCGTTTCATCGGCATTATAGATTTGTTCTGGCAGCAGATTTTCACTTTTCACAAAACTATCAAAATTGGTGCAAAATTGATCTGATGCTGACAAGTCCCCTGACAATTTCTCACCTTGAATACTGATTTCTCGTATTCCATGACGCTGCTTGAAACGTGTTAGCCAACCGGAAGAAGCGTCAAAACTCCCTTCTAGTTCAAGTGCTTCGAAAAAATATTTAGCTTGTTTAGCACAAACTGGTCCTGTTATTGTTGTTCCCTGTGCCCTTAGTTGATTAAACCAGGTCAGCATCGCTTTGTCGAGATCATCGTATGTTGATTTCTTCATGGTTTTTCTCTTCTTCATTCCGCTTGAATTAGAAGACGAAGCAAAGGAAATTAACTCATTCTTTTGTTTTTTCAAATCACGAACAGTTTGTTCTCCAATACCGTATTGCATTGCTAATTGTTTAACTACAGCTCCTTTTTCCAGCTGATTGATAATTTCAAGTTTCTGTTGAATACTTAACACAACACGCTTCCTTTTAAACCCCGACATTTTGCTAACGCACTTGAAGATCTATATTAAGAAACTGATACTTACTTTCACAATGCACTCTCACACTGAGATGGTACCGTTAAATAACCTGGGGCGGTGTATTTGTCCTTGAAACTTTCCAAAAATTCTTGCATTCTTTCACCCCCACCCTAGAACATTGTGTTCGCATAACGGGACGAAATAATGCAGAGCTCGGTTCACACTAGTGCGAAAATAGTGTTAAACTCACCATGTGAAACAAAAGTGAATGAATATTAAACAACATATAAACTTAAAAAAAAAAAGCCCCGGTTAAGCCGCAAACCGGTTAATCCGCCCCCGGATAATCGAGAGTTGACTGTATTAGAATTTGCAGTTCAATGCATGCAGTAACAGGAGCAAAACACAACACAGAACACGATACACAAATGTATGTAGGAAGAATGCTCATATAAAAGAGGAGTGGCGTAATTCGTGTGTTTGAGTGCGACGTAGGATGAATCTGAAAAGTTTTATTATTTAGAATTCATCGACATATATGACGAATACAGATTTTAGTCATTTTAGAACGAAGACATCATGGCATGCAGTACAATAGTTTAACGTGCATAAAGACACCTGAGGATGGCACATTAGTGCTGAAACATGTAGTGTGGAAGTGAAGAATAAGGTGAAAAAGTGTATACACTGTAAGATGGTTAGCATAAACCATGGACGAGAATTTGTCATTTTCAATTCATCAACAACATTTACAATTTCACTAGTAGAGACCAGGCTATATCTGACGATACGAAAAGTTACATTTAGGGTAGCAGATTAATAATCATTGAAAGTTTTCACATTTTCAGTGAGATTACGATTATTAAAATTTGTTGATATATTAGTAATAATTGTATTTGCTAGAGATAAAAAATATTCATTAAAAGATTCAGCAGTGTTTACTGGGTTGGTATATGCTGTAACAAAAGTGTTAGTAGTGCTGGTAGGTAGATTAATGTGAGAATTTCTACCAGAGAGTGTCATAACAATATTCCAAGTACTTTTAATTCTATCACTGGAATTAGAAATCTGCATATCACAATGAAGATGCTTAGTTTTTAAAATATAACAACTAATACTTACCAATAATGTAGAAGCCCATCTTTGCTCTTGACAATGCAACACACACTCTGTTCTCAACGCTGAGAAAGCCAATTTTTGCTTCTCTGTTGCTCCGCACCAAAGAGAGCAAGATTATGTCATTCTCCTCTCCTTGGAAATTATCTACCACCATTATTTTTACCTTTTCCAGCATACTGTATTTCTTCTGTACCTATAAACACATACAAAATCTTTACTCAATGTTTAAGAAGAGATGTTCTTCACAATTTGCACCCTTCATCAAGTATTACTATAAAGTTCGACCCAAGGAAGATGAAATACATGGACCATACAAAATGCACTGGATAACTGGAAAAAAAAAAAGCACACAAAATGTCTGACTATCTGACAGAAAGAAATCACCCATGACATGACAAGAGACTATTTAAACAGATCTCAAAGAAATATGGTGCAAGGATGCAGATTGGATTCTGTTGTTCCACTGCCGAACCTTTCTGAACATAGCAAATGAGTCTTTGGGTTCAGTGAAAGGTGGGGAATTTCTAGGCAATCAGAGTGACTATTAGGTTCTTCCCAAGAAAGGCTCTACTAAATGGTGTTAGTTCAAGAGATAAGAGCATCACAGAAAACTCATTCACTCATTCATGGAGCTGAGACCTTCTTGACAACCTGCCAATTCTGTAGCTACTGAAGAACTTCCCAGCGTTTTATGGAACCCGAACATTCATTACCGTGTTCACAGGAGCCCTCCACTGGTCCCTATCCCGAGCCAGATCAATCCAATCCATAACAGGCTGTCTTATCTAATATCCATTTTAATATTTTCCACCCACCTATGGCTTGGTCTTCCCAGTGGTCTACTTCCTTCTGGCTTTCCCACCAATATCCTATATGCATTCCTCCTGGCCGTGCCCATCCCATCCTCCTAGACTTCATCATTTTAATTATAATTGGAGAAGAGTACAAGTTATGAAGCTCCTCATTTTGCAGTTTTCCCCAACCTCCCGTCACTTCATCTCTCTTCGGTCCAAATATTCTCCTGAGCATCCTGTTCTCAAACACCCTCAGCCTATGTTCCTCCCTTAAAGTCAGAGACCAAGTTTCACACCCATACAGAACCACAGGCAAAATTATAGTTTTGTATATTTTAATTTTTATGTCTTTTAAAACAGTTATTCAAATTTGTGCTGCCATACTGAAACCCATACTAGTGAAGGATCTTTGGAAATTATAAACCCAGTGAGTCAATACCAATCATTCCAATATTATTGCACAGTGCACTGTCATGTGGCAACATTCATACTGTAGGGAAAAGAATCTAGTATGATCAGCATTCCAATTTATGAAATGCACCAATTAAAATCCTGCATTTTAAAGTTTACAGCATGCAGTATATTTATCTTCTTCTGACTTACAACTGAAAACACCAAAAAGAAGTGAATGATACTGCCTCCTCCACTAGTTCCCATCCTGAAACATTCTTGTGAACATGAGGGCTTTTGAAAGATGCCACCATACAGATTTTACCACAAGTCTGGTAAAACCACACTCTTTTCTTCCCTGGAACAGAACCTAGTGCACAACCTAAGCCACAAATTCTCGTAATTACTTCTGACCATTATCAGCCACATGTCACAACACTGTGACTCTGTGCATGCTTGTCATTACATATGCCTACTGACACATCTGCTGCCAGCACCCACAGTAGCAGGGGGTTTAAATTCACTACTCCCAAACAATTAGGGCTAAATAAAAGTGGGACAGTATGATGGAACAACAAATGCATGCTGTTCTTTAAACAGTCAAACAAGGCTGATATGTAAGTTTTGAGGTTTTCACTGCGATGACTATGAAGAAAGTCGTCTTCTGGGTTTTGGCACTGTGTATTCTTCGTTTTGGCCGACGTTTCAGAGGAACGTATCGCCTCCATCTTCAGAGCAGGTGAATGGCTTGTGAATGCAGAGAGCAGTAGCTGTAATGGTTAGGAAGTGAAAGGCACTGCTATATATACGAAGTAGGCAGGGGGGGGTGGTTAGGGAGAGCGGACCAATAGGAGCAGTGGAGAGCGATTAAGGCCATATATGGTGTTTTGTGCTAAGGGAGGGGGGGAAGGCCAGTGAATCCAGGAAACTTGAGTTCAATAGCACTTGGAGGTTGCGGTTAGACAAGAAGAACCGGTTGGCTGGGGACAGGCTACTGACGTCAATGACATGACGAAGAACTGGGGTGGCTTGTTGGATTTCTCTTGAGGGAAGAGATGAGAGGCTTCCATGACTTGTTGAGACTGAACCCTGTTTCCTTGTTCATGTTGTTCGGATGGAGCTCGATCTCAACAGCCTCCATGATTATGCAATCTAGGTAACGGCTCTTACTGGTGATTATGGCGGTTTTGTGAAACTGGATACGGTGGTCTAGCTCGATGCTGTGTTCAGCTATGGCTGACTTATCCGGATGTTCTAGTCATAAATGCTGTTGATGTTCTTTCAACCTGGTGTCCACAGAACGGCCCGTTTGCCCGATGTAGACCTTGCCGCACTCGCATGGAATTCTGTAAATTCCCGGTGTCCTCAGTCCCAGGTGATCCTTGACAGGCTGGAGGAAATTAGATATTTTCTTTGGGGGCAGGCCAACTGATTTGATGTTGTGTCGGGACAGCACTCTGCTGATCCTGTTGAATATAGTCCCGACAAAGGGCAAGAAGGCGACAGTGTCTCTGCGGTCATCATGTTGATTGCTGTTGGGATGGTGGTTGAGGGACCTGTGGATCTGCCAGTCGTTATAGCCATTGTGTCTGAAGATGTCCTTCAGGAACTCCAACTCCCCACGCAGGCTCTCTTGACCGCACAGAGCTCTGGCCCTGTGTACCAGTGCGGACAGAGTTGCCTGTTTACTGGAAGGGTGATGATGGGACTTGGCATTGAGATAGAGGTTGGTGTGTGTGGGTTTGCGGTATACTGTATCGTCTAGAGAGCCGTCGGGTCTCCTGTAAATATCTATGTCTAGGAAGGGGAGGTGGCCTTCACTTCCGGTTTCCATGGTGAACTGAATGCATGGGTTGACACTGTTTAAGCGGTTCAGGAAACCCTTCAGGTTGTCAGGTCCGTGGGGCCAGATGACGAAGGTGTCGTCCACATATCGAAACCAGCATAGGGGCTTGAGTGGGGCCAAATCCAGCGCCCTCTCCTCTAAGTCCTTCATGTAGAAGTTGGCGATGACCGGAGATAGTGGAGAGCCCATGGCTACACCATCAGTCTGTTCATAGAACTGGCCATCGAAGCTGAAGTAGGATGTGGTTAGGACATGGCGAAAGGGTCTCAAAACATCTTCGGCGAAGTTTCCTCCTAGTAGATCCATACTGTCCTTGATTGGCACTTTGGTGAAAAGCGATACCACATCAAAGCTAACCATCATATCATAAGGGTTTAATCGGAGGGATTTTATGGTGTGCACAAATTCGGCAGAGTTTCTCACGTGGTGTGGGGAGTAACAGGTGTAGGAGTTAAGTAGGCCAGCCAAATGTTTGGCCAAGCGATAGGTGGGGGAGCCAATGGTGCTGATAATTGGTCTTAATGGTACGTCAGGTTTGTGTATTTTGGGCAACCCATAGAGTCTCGGTGTTCTGGAACACTGTGGTCGTATTTGTTGGCAGATCTCTTCAGGGAACGGGGACTTCTTTAGGAGAAGCAACGTCTTGCGCTCTATGGAGTCAGTGGGATCCTTTTTCAGCTTCCTGTAGGTCTTGTCCTCTAGGAGAGCAACAATCTTCTGGTTGTAGTCAGAAGTGGCCAAAACCATGGCACCATTACCTTTGTCGGCCGGAAGAACCGTGAGAGTCTCGTTGGATTTTAAGGCTCGGAGAGCTCTTCTCTCGGCACCAGTGAGGTTGTCCTTGGGTTTGTTGGAGCCCTTGAGGATCCTGTCTCCTGTCGAATCTCCTCTGCAGTCTCTTCCAGTAGGGCCATTACAGCCTTTTCAACCCCGCACAGGATGTCCTTGACTGGGATAGAACTAGGGGCTACAGCAAAGTTCAGGCCCTTGCTCAGAGCAGAGTAAGCTGCTTCTTCCAACGGTACATCACTTAGATTGACCACAGTCTTCCTGTTCTCTTGAAGTTGGGGTGGATGTTGTGTCTTCTGCAAGTTGATGAACTTCTTGCACTGTCTGGCTCTAGCTTGGTCACCGATATTAACAGCTTTCTGGGTCGTGATGTGGTCGATTAGGTCCCAATCAACTGCGGATAGGACTCGGGTTAAGAGAAGATGTAACTTAATCAGCTCTCTTGAGACAGCATCCAGTTCTCGCCTTGTGTAGTCCCCTTGAGGCCCATTTTCAGAGTAGGGAACAGTCAAAAGTCACTTGGAACGAGATCTGGAGAGTACGGTGGTTGAGTGATGACAGGAACGTTTTTCTCGGCGAGGAACTGCTGCACAACCAGCGATGTGTGACTTGGTGAATTATCATGATGCAGAAACCACTGTCCCTGCCACTTGTCGCACTGCTTCCTCCAAACCGCATCACATAACCTCTGCAAAACTTGCACATAGAAATGGCCAGTAACAGTACCAACTTCTTGCTCCAACTCCGCGATGGTCATTCTTCGATCACACTGAATCGGTTGTTGCACTTTTCCACTCATTTCTTCGGTTCTGGATGTCGAAGGTCTCCCATTGTGCTGGTCTTCCTCTAACATCTCTTGTCCATTCTTAAACCAGGAAAACCAGTCGTAAACTGCGGATTTCTTTAGTACAGTATCACCGCAAACTTGCTGCAGGGCCGATATCGTCTCTGAAGCAGATTTTCCCAATTTGCACATGAACTTGATGTTTGCACGCTGTTCGAACTGTGACATTGCACCGAATGGCCAACACTCACGTCTAATTCAAACGACACTGCACACTGAAATGTGTCCAGACCTGTTGTGCCTGCGAGCAGACATGCTGAGCTTCCCACCACTACAGTGTGTGCACTATCTTATCGCTTGTTCTGCAGCGGAATTCCAGGAAATTTTTGACTGCCCTATGTAATTATAAGCTATATGACTTATACAATGCCCTAGTGAGGACTGCCAAATTGGGGAGGCTCAGGTAGGTAGGACACCTAGCCAAGGCAAATGTGGTATCTCCACTTAGGAGAGTAACATTTTGGAGCCTGAAGGCACAAGAAGGGCTGGACGACTCAGCCTAAGGTGGGTGGCTGGATAGTGTACTGAAAGATCTCAGAATCCCTGGTGTATAAAAACCTATGGAGAAGGACCCTGGGGGAGGCCAACAATAACACAGGGTTGTTATGCCAGGGAAGGACACAGTGTGCAGAACTTCAACTGTATTTCCCATGAAAATTATGTGTTACTTGGTAGGATCCATAGGTAAGTATGTATATCCATTTAATCCAATTTAAATTACATTTTTTTTTGCAAAAATTATGCACCAGGTGAAATTTTATTAAGGGAAATTCTTGTCTCCATGTTTATCAAGTATCTGTATGGTGGAGTCAATTGAGACAAATATCCATACAGCACTGCCACATCACAATCACTTTCAGAACATCTGCTTACAAAATATGCATTAGTCAAAATATTATCACGGGCCATTTTCATCTCAGTGTTAATCAAAGAATCATACAGTGATGCCCATATGTGTGAATATGCTCACCATGCTCTCATGTCACATTCAGATTCAATCACACTTCTGATGAGAACTGTCAAAATTTTATCAAGGGGCATTTCCGTCTCACTCTTCATCAAAGAAAATGTGGTAAGAATCCACCTACATCAGTTCAACCTAACATGCAAAATTAGACTTGTAATATTCACATATTTTATGCCCTACAAATTTCATACATGATTTTTGGATAAGAATAATTATGCAAGTGAATATGGTATGAGCTAAGGAAAATAATTTCTCTGTTTATTCAAAACATCCAATTTTCACAATCAGCATACACTGAACATAAATGATAATACTTTAAAACAAATTATCTTTCATTCAGATGCATAATCTTATACTCACACTACGTAAGTAAAACATTTGCCCAGAATATGTTGCCAAAATCGTAATGCGACTCGGTGAGTATCCTTGCATGACAAGATAGCGGCACAGAGCAATGAGAAAATCACCCTCATGAGTGTTCCTGTGGCTAGAAATGTCTTCCACCTGCAATACAAGAGAACACTATATGTGAAAAGTCTTGGTTACTTAAACTTCCAACAAGTTTTGCAGTGGACTGGTAAGCACTCATGTGTCAATGCTGGACATATCCCAGTTCAAACGCTGGCCATCAGACGACTCCTCTGAGAGTGGATTTTTCATGGTTTTCCACAGTCACTCTGCAATGTCACAACACCATTTTAATTTAGGTTACTCTCACTATTTAGTACATCTACCAAATTCATCATTCAGTGATCATTTTATCTTATCCAGCAATATTAAATTATATATTCAAGCCACTATTGGAATCACTGACGCCGATATGCTGCAGTGTACATAGATGGAGCTTGAATGTCGCTTGGACACTGTACATATTATAAATGTTGCCCATGGTGAATGTAAACAATGTGTCTATGTGAAAAAAGTCGTCTTCTGGTATCTGGCACCATGTATTCTTCGTTTTAACTGACGTTTCGGAGGAACATATCGCCTCCATCTTCAGGGTAGTTGAGTTGCATGCGAATAGAGATAGCTGTAGCAGCAATGATTGGGAAGTGAAAAGTGCTGACCGATATCCCCCCTTTCGCCCCCCAGACCACATATGGACTTAATCGCTGTTCATTCTTCCCACTGGTCCCACCTCCCAACCCCCCCTCCCCTTCCTATTTCATATATAAACCAGCACTTTTCACTTCCCAATCATTGCTGCTACAGCTATCTCTATTCGCATGCAACTCAACTACCCTGAAGATGGAGGCGATATGTTCCTCCGAAACGTCGGTTAAAACGAAGAATACACGGCGCCAGATCCCAGAAGACGACTTTCTTCACAGTTATCGCCGTGAAAACCTCAAAACTTACAATGTGTCTATGTCTTCTCACACACTGTTTTATTCACGAGTAAAGTTGTAAAGATAATTCATATACAGCCTCTGTGACTTCCTAATCCTCAGAAAACTTAAAATAGAACTGCAATAACAACTGAAATGTTATGTACCTCTTCTTCTGCATGATTGTGTGTGATAAAAAACACACTCTTCAGCATACCACGGACACTCTCATACTGCAATACAGAGTTATGATTCAGCAACCCTGGATAGATGGCCGGAACAATTAGTTCTGCTATTTCCGGTCTCATACGATGCTGGACTTTCAACACTTCACAGTGCATTTTATTCTTCAACATCCGCTCAAAAAGGGAGATATCAAAGTTGAAGTCACGTGCAAGTCTGTACACAGCAGGAGAAGGTCGCAACTGCTTATGGTCTCCTGCATACAAACCACAGAGTTACAACCACACAGAGTCAAACTGGTACAATGTGCATCATTTGGTTATTGTCTCCAGAGGTGAGGTAGCCAGAGTGTAAAGCTCACCATCTTCACCCAGTGATGAGAAGAATAAATGGAGATTTGCCTCCACTCCCCTTATAAATCTTCATAAGATGATGTATAAACACAGGCACAAGTTTCACTTTCATCCTTCACCTTTAATTCCCTCATGTCTGCAAGAATCTGAGATGCTCAGATTACCAGGAATGGTATAGGATCAATGACGATAGAATTTATTTCAAGGTTTTATCACGGCATCAGTCAGAAAAGACAGATGGGGGAAAAGCAAAAATACGAGGGGGGGCCCAAAAATAACCGGAACCGACCTGTTGCGCGCGCATGCTTTGTAGTTACGAGTTGTGCTGCTAGATGGTGTTAGCTGGGGGTCTCCCGCGACTGTTAGTGAGCTGGCGTCAGTCTGAGTTAAGTGGTTTGTCTGTGGTCCTCTGTTGTGTGCGTTCCTGTTTCAACCCTTTGGCGATTAGTGAGATGGCCGACCAGAAGGAACAAAGAGTGTGCGTGAAATTCTGGATCGTTCTGCACTTCACTCTTCAAGTCGCGGCAAACATTCACGCGGTTTTCTCTTTGGTCATCTCCGAGCAAGCGAGGAACAAATTTTGCAGACACCCGTCTCATGTGCAAACCTTCGGTTAAAATTCGCTGGACCGTGCTCCATGAGATGTTCGTTTCCTCAGGAAGTTGGTTAATGGTCTTTCGACGATCTTCATCAATTGCACGTTTGATTTTGGCAATGTTTTCGTCATTTCTTCCTGTCGAAGGACGCCCGGGGCGTGGCATGTCTTCTGTTGACATGTTGCCAGATTTGAAACGGGAAAACCACTCATAGACCTGTGATTTCCCCAAAGCATCATCATTAAAGGCTTGCCGAAGCATCCAGATCCAGAATTTCACGCACACTCTTTGTTCCTTCTGGTCAGCCATCTCACTAATCGCCAAAGGGTTGAAACAGGAACGCACACAACAGAGCACCACAGACAAACCACTTAACTCAGACTGACGCCAGCTCACTAACAGTCGCGGGAGACCCCCAGCTAACACCACCAACAGCACAACTCGTAACTACAAAGCATGCGCGCGCAACAGGTCGGTTCCGGTTATTTTTGGGTCCCCCTTCGTAAATAAAGAAGAAAAATAAAACACCCTTAAATTCATAGGAAACGTTATCATTAGGGCAAAGACATCTTACATCATGCAGTGAGGGGACATTTTCATAGTTATTCTGTGCTGTGGCTTTCCTTGTTCATACACCTAACAAAAAATGCTACACGCCCTTGGCATCGAACAGCAATTATGATGGACAATTTTAATCATCTCAGGTACATTTAACGTTCTGGTAGAAAGTTGCATAAAGAGCAAGATGACAATCTTTGGGATGTGACAGCATGCAGTCCGGCATGCATTTAGTGAGGACATTTCAGAGGAACACCTTGCCTCCATCTTCAGGGTAAAAACCCTTCTAATATCAGTAAATACTAATAAGACTATATAACACCACATCCCAGATGACAGTAACCCTCACAGCCCCACAAAAACACCAGAACCTCAACTCTCCCAGAAGTTCCACGATACAGGAAATATATCAGGATTACTAAGCTGAGAAGGGGAAATGTATACAACAATTTAATCAGGAAACCTGGAGGGAACAGTTCATCTGGATGATTTAGACAAATATGTGAGGAAAATATTAACATGGATCTTGAAGAAACAAGGTGACAGCAAGTGGACTGGATGCATCAGATTCCAAAGAGACAAGCTGCAGGCCTTGTGAACACAGTGATGTAATTTGGGGCTCCATAAGAGGATGAGAACCTCCTGACTAACTGAGCGACTACTAGCTTCTCAAGGTCTCTGCTCCATGGAACTGATTAATTACCTAAATTAAGTTTAACTTTGATTATTGGTTACAGGTCTGGTCTGCTATGGTTTCGTTTGGTTTGGTCTCGGATGATTGGCTGGTGTTCCAAGGGTTATCCCTACTCACATCTTCAGCTGGAGCAGCCAGGATAGCGACCGGCTATGGGATGGATGACCAAGGGGCTGGAGTTCGAGTCCCAGTAGGGTCAAGAATTTTCTCTTCTCCAAGTCATCCAAACTGGCTTTGGGGACCCACCCAGCCTCATATCCAATGGGTACCGGGTTCTCTCCTCCCTGGGGGTAAAGCGGCCAGGGAGTGAAGCAAACCACTCACCTCAAACTAGTGCCAAGGTCAAGAAAACGTGGATCTATACATCCAATCACTCCCTCATACGTCTTCATGGAGAGGTGCTTAATTAGTTAAGCACAGGGACAACTTTGCCTTCCCCACCTCTCTTCAGCTGAATTCTGTCATTACACTGACCGACTATAGCTGCTACCGCAAATTCGGCAATCTAAATATCTGGGTATCATTTCAGCTGTTGTCACTTATCTCAAAAATGGAATTAAGACGGCCTATGATTCAGTACAACATTCTCACTGAGGTTGGAGTATCCCATGGAACTGGGTATGCTTATTAAAATGTGTTTAAATGAAACCTGTAGTAAAGTCAGTATAAGTAAATATTTGTCTGACATGTTCCCTATTCAAAATGGTCTAAAGAGGAGATGCTTTATTGCCACTGCTTTCCAATTTTGCTTTAAAATATGTCATTAGGAAGGTCCAGGAAAACAAGGTGGGACTGAAATTAAATGGGACATATCACCTGCTGGTCTATGCTGATGATATGAATCTACTGGGTGTTAACACAGACACCATAAAGCAAAACATAGAAACTTTAATTATTGAAGCCAGGAAGGAGGTTTCTATAAGCAGATGAAGAGAAAACTAATTACATTCTACTGTCGTCACCAGAACACAGGGCAACATCACAATTAAAAGATAGATAACAGGCCCTTTGAAAATATGGTACAGTTAAATTTTTGGGACAGACAAATAAAAAATTCCATACCATAGCTTCATTACTTGTACTCTTTGCCTAGTATAATTAGAATGATCAAGTCAAGGAGGATGAGTTGGGCATGGCAAGTAGCACAAATTGAGGCAAAGAGGAAAGCATATAGGATATTGGTGGGAAAGCCAGAAAGAAACCAATATGTAGGAAGGAGGATAATATTAAAATGGATCTTAAGACACATAAAATGTAGTGGTATGGACTGGATTGATCTGGTTCAGGATAGGTCCAGAGGAAGGCTCCTATGAACATTGTCATGAACCTTTTGGTTTCATTAAATGTTTGGGAATTCTTCGAGTTGTGGAGCAATCAGAGGCTTCTCGATGACTCAGCTCAATGGAGTTGGTTAGTTAACAAAGATTTTGTACATATCTGACAGATATCAGTGGGGAGGATTCTGATATATCGAAACCTGTTAGCAATGGAGAAGTGAACAATTGGGAAGACTGGCGTTTTTTAAATTTTAAACTACGTGCAGTGTAGCAGCTACGTGAGAATATACACCGGATGATGGCCATTTACGGCCGAAACATGTAGTATAGAAGAAAGGAAGATGAAAGAACTACAATAAATTGTTGCACTTAGGACAGAGTTTGTGTCATATATTGTGTAGAGTGCAACAGGATGCTTAACCCGTTGCCGTGGTTCGTCGTGTATGTTTCGTCAGGGATTTAAATCGTCTGGGGGGGTTCGGCGTGTATGTTTCGTCCAGCTGCACACCTATGTTATAACGCCTATAATAATTGATGGTTTTGCTGTAGATTGTTAGATTTTTCGCTGGCCTGTTGTCACAAGAACAGAGTATACTAAGCCAACGAGTTTAGCTGAGATAAGTCATCGTTACATATGCCTGTCTTGCAGCAAATTCGTGTTGCTTCTTGTAGCGGTTTCGTCACTCAATGGCGTATTTGCTTTGCTTGTGAAGTAATAAACACCAGAGAGGTGATGTGTGCTGTTGTATATAATATCATATTGCCCTGAGCTGGCCACACAAACACATTCCATTGGAATTCTTAGAAGAGGGTTGTCCAAAATGTTATTCTCGTAAAATCGATTGCTTTCGCACAGTACATAGCACCCATTTCTTAGAAATACGCCACAATTTAAGGCAGAACACTGTGGTCACCCCCTGAGACGATACGGATGTGTGTGGGGGAGGGAAAAGTACTCATTATCGCTCCAGTTGACGCCATTTTATCGTACTGACCTTGGTGGTCGTTTCGAGAGCCAGCTCTGTGTTTAGACTAATGCTTCAAGGCGTCACCTGCTTACATAGCCGAGATACCGGGTGCTCATATTATAAGGCAAGGTTATAAAACCAACTTTTAAGATCATTTTAGTGAAAGTTTCATGTTCCTATCTCATAGAATTTAAGAACAATGATGAATAAATAATTTTCGAGCAAAATTTAAATGGCCGGCTGAATATATTACCGCAGGAGCCGCGGCCGCGGAATTTAAATGACCACGTCAAAAGGTTAAATATAATATTGTAAGAATTTTTGTTTGTCAGTACAGCAGAAGAGTGGGTCTGAAATCTTCCAATCTTTATCTCTAGATCTGACTATGCATCTATGGAGCTACATCAGACCGTACGCCACATGTTCACAGTTGGATTCATGTTTCTATCATAACTCTTACAAAACGGTTTAACTTAAAAACCACATCATAACTTAAGGACACACACACACACACACACAGACACACACACACACATATATATATATATATATTTCCTTTTCCTATGCATTATCACGTTTGCAGATTCATTGGTTATTAGCTAATTTTGAATAGAAAAAAGAACTTGAAAACAAAATTACGGTGCAATGGCCATTCACCGGGGAGCACATGGTAGCATAGTGGTTAAGGCACTATGCTACAAGTCGGAAGGTCGATGAGGTCATTGGATTTTTTCAATTGACCTAATCTTTCTGGCCGCCCTATGGCCCTGCGGTTCACTCAGCCTCCAACAGAAATGAGTACCAGGAATTAAATAAATAATTTTCCTGGGGAGCCGACTGTCTCTCTAGATAATGTGGGACCCTCAACATCTCACAACCCTATGGGCCTTCATGCCCTGTTACAGGGATAGCTTTACTTTTTTTTTTAACTTTGAGCATTCACCGGTAAAAGAGAACTTTAATTGTTTCTTGCATCCTGTTGTGTATTTAATCAATATTAGAGTCAATTTTACCGACCACACAACACATTTTTTTTGTGTGGTCAGTAAAATTGACTCTTATATTGGTAAAAGAGAAGTTCATTATTTGAGTATATTATTTGACAGAACATACCAATAAGGATGAGATGTTCACAGTGATGTGTCAGAGATGCAACAAGGTGACTTTCGTTGACTTCAGCTGCTTCTTCAACAATCACTGCAATAACACAGTTCATCTATTACGCAGACACACTACAATACTTGCAAAATTATATTTAATATAACTTAATAAATAAAAGACTGAATATTGGATCGCAGAACTGACATGAAAATTATTTAAGATCTCAGCGGTGACTATGAAGAATGCTGTCTTCTGAGCTGTGGCACCATGCAGATATTGTGTAAACTGACATTCAAGAGGAACGTATCACCTCCATCTTCAGGGTATAAAAATCCACGAGCGAGGAAGAAATGTGAGCAGGTGACTGCAGCTGATACATTCCTCCGAAACGTCAGTTTGCACAATACCTACACAGCGCCACAACCCGGAAGATGGCATTCTTCATGAAAATTATTCTTTACGATATTATGTTCACTCTGTTGTGTCCTTAGGAAGAGCTAACCTCAATCACTAGACAACCCATGTCTGAGTCACTTACTTTATGACAGGGAGTTCACCGCCAATCAGTTCATCTTTGTGCCAAGCCCGATTGAGGCTCATGACCAGAGATTTTTTTTTCAACTAAATCCTTACATACTCATGAATAGGCTTCACCTTTGTCAAGAGTATGTATCACATAACTACAGCTACATATGAGTACACCTGAGGTGAGGCTTTGTTGAAGGGAGATAACAGGAAAATATGAAATAAAAATTGTGATAAAGCATGCACAGATCTGAAACAAAGATAGAAAAAGAGGCGAAAATTTTATGCAATAAACATAAACAATAAACCAAGTTCATGAAAACTGAAACTGAAAACATGGAATTTGTGAAACCAGTTTGTGCCTACTGCTAGCACCATCTGTAGAGTGAAAATTGAACACTCAAGGCACTTATAGAAACCCATGAAGAATCTGTCACATCATACAGATCTCCTCTGTGAATTGGTAACTTGAGTGCTGACAAGGGGGATCCACATGGCAGAAGTTAAACAGCAGACTTTAGGGGCATGAATAAACTGCAGTAAATGTAAAATCATATGGAAGTAAAATTCATGGTAAGGGAACCTATTCCTTCTGCTTTATACAATAACTGTACTCCAGTCAGAGAGAGCTACTAATTGCTGTTCCCTTTTCATAGTTAGGATATAGTTCCAATGTACATGAGGGCCCGTTTCAATGCACAATAAGTATTACACAAGGGAACAATTACATAGTAAGACCTTACTAATTCTGACTAACTGTGAGCGAAATTTCTTCTAAATTAGTGAAAGACCAAAATTATAGAAGCCCTACTGAAAACAGGTTCAGTGAACTTATAAAAAGGACTTCAAGTGTGTTTTTAGGCAATACAACTTTATTTTGAAACTTAGATTGCATATCATGAAATAAATATTTTGGTTTGCGTTCCCCTTTCGCACTGTTCTTCCGCTACAACTTCCTGATCGTGATTATCAAGGTTCTAATGCACAAAAAGAAGTTATCCAATTTATAATGAATTCCAAATTAGTGAGGTTTCACTGTATTCCTAAATTTAACAGTTCTTAAAGAAGAGAGTACATAGTAGAAATTTGTAAAACACCGTGCTCTATTCAAAAAGATGCACTCTTTCACGTAAGACATTTGATTCTTTTAGGATATAATTTATCTTTAAATAATCAACAATTTCTGTATTGTGGAAGGAAATCTGAAAAAGTTTCTATTCTCTCCCCTAACACGAAACACAATAGTCAAGAGTTTCATGACAAACTGTCCGTACAAATTACTTTACATGACAATTAATACTCATAACTCTTCTTACCTATTTTGGCTTTAAGAGCCTGCAGCAAGGAATGCAGCTTGGCAGCTCCACTAGTCGTCATAGCAACAATCAGTGAATCTTTAAGTATGTCAAGATCATTCATCTGCTGCGCTTCTTCATACATCCTGGTTTCACGACGTAACTCTTCTTCTTGTTTACACAACTCCTCAAGCAAAGCATTTCTGAATCTGTCCACCCAATATCTGTAGAGAATCCACCTTTCTTCTGCCTGCAATTGCCATAAGTTCCTTACTTGCAAAAGACGTTCCACTGTACTCCTGTTTTCATTCCCCTTATGGCAAAGCTGTCTCTTGATATAGTTCAACCTCAGTTTCAAGTCCTCACACATATCCTCCACCATGTGCATCCTGTAAACAAGGTTTGCATCTTCTCTAATTTGTGTCTGCAGGTACTGTTTTTGTAACTCATACCATTCTATGTCTCCTTCAAGCATCTCTAAATCTAATGTGAAAGTCAGAAAAGAACGATGAACGTCAGGCTGTGATTCCAAATCATCTACAACATTCTGACTCCGGTTCTCATTATGATATCCTTCTGCCTCATATGGAGGCACATCATCATACATTCCATATTCAAGCCATTCAGTAAACCGCTCTTCAGTAAGCATCTTATCATGAGATGCAAAACAATCTAAATGTTGATCGCGAACTATGTCCACTTTATTTAGAAAAGACAAAGAAATAATTCCTTGGTGGCTGGCAATCATTTCCAGATAATACAGAATCCTCTGCATGACTTTCCTTATACCAGATATGTTGTAATAGATTTCTCTTATTTCATCACACAAATCTCCTTCTTGCTTGTGACGCTTCTCTCTCAAGTTGAAGCCCTCTAGAATTTTGCTCTTTGATTGCCCACCAACTCGCACAATTTTGTTGGTGACTGCAATAAGTCCTTCTAGGAACTGATCCAAGGCATGATTTGTGTAGCACACTAGAAGGATTGGATTGCGAGAAGCATTCCATATAGGGGAATTTTTTAGGAGTACAGAGGCTACTTTGAGTCCTAGAAAAGTCTTCCCTGTTCCTGGTGGTCCCTGTATAATGACAAATTCTTTTGTAAGGGCTGATTTGAAAGCCCTGTACTGAGAAACATCAAGTTCCAATTCCAATGGTCCTGGCCAAGAATCATCTTGCAAAACACAAACTGTCCTACCATCTATATCCAACAGGACGCCTCCCTCTGAACACATGTACTTCGGCAGATCGGCTGACATTTCTGCATGAATGATATACTTCTCCATTGGGAAGGATTCCTGTTTCATGGTCTGTAATGCCTTCAAAACATGGTAATATGGTTCAAAATACACCTGTGATTCGGCCATCACAAATTCATTTGAAAATAAATCAATATAGTCACAAACATCTGAGCCTTCACACAGCTTGACGACAATCTTTCCTTCCTTTAGATCCTCCAGATCTCTGTACATCACAGTTCCAAAAATTACATTCGCAAAGTCATTTCTTGAAAACAGAACTAATGAACCAAACAAAAGTCGTTTTGAATGCTCCCAGTTTACTTTCTTGAGACGCTTGTTTGGGTCAAAACAAACAACCAGTCCAAATTGGTCCTTTATAACCTTACGAGTGAGAAATACCACCTTATGATAGATTGTTACACTTGTAAGTTTTTTAGTCATCTTCTTGTTGGTCATGTTTATATAGCCTGAAATCCCTTCCCTCAGAGGTGAAACAAAATCTTCACGCAACAAACGAAACTGAGTATCAAGATAATGATTCACACTCTCATATGCCCCATCAATGATGTTTGGTCTAACAAATCCTGGCTCTTCAGCGAGGATCTCTTCTGCATTTGGGTATATGCTTATTTTCCTGAAGTCATCCTGTTGAATTTCTAGTGCACATATATTCACATCCTCCTTTTTCTTCCTTTTTTCATCTTCAATACAGACTTCATATTGAGCCTTGATATGCACAAATTTTGCCTTCACTTCATCAAAATTAGACCATGAAAGCTGTTGTCCTTCAAAATTTTTTATCAACATATCAGTAATCATGAAAATTTTTCCACACCCTTGAACTGCTTTACTTGGCAGGAGACTAACAACAGTTTCCAGAAAAGTCATAAGATCTTCAAAGAAGTTTCCAACATTCTCTTTCCTCTTTTTGTTCACTTCAAGAGGAATAAGAGCTATATGTTGTGACAACTGCTCAAGAAATTCATGAATACAAGCCAGAGACAGAACAGCAACTTTGTTTTCTTCCAAGTCCGCTTTACTGAGTTTTGATAAAACTCTTACAATTAGAATTAACATATCTGGCTTCAGTGGCTGTTTTAAGAGTGTTTCAAACTCACGCCTTTGTTTGGCTAACACCATAATAATATCATATGGCTCTTCATCAGCTAGTTTTTCAAGCTGTCTGCACCCCAGAACACACTCTCGCTCCACTCCTTGTTGTGACAGTCTTTGATATTGTTCCTGTGTAGGAGCAGCATGACCTCCACTTTGATGCCCTCCTTCTGTATTAAGTCTATCATGACCTGCCTGTGTCTCAAAAGACTTTCCTGCCTTGTGAAAGGTATCTGAAATAATTTCACCCTTCAGGCATCCAGAATTAGGCTTCTGGTTTCTACTTTTACTATTCTTATGTTCAGGCACTCTCTTCCATCCAACATCATCAGCAGAACAATAAGACTGACTTCTTTCTCCATCATGTTTTCTATTTCCTCCCTTTCCAGGAAACAGTTCATATTTTAATATGCCACCCAATGTCTGGTCTTCTGTAGGAGGTAGAATACATTCTCTAGGTTTGGAAATATTCTTTTTCTTCTTAGATAATGCTTCATACTTTCCATTATCCTTTATTACTGAAGTGTTCCCGAAATGGTCCAAAGAAGTATCTCTTTTCAGCGGTCTCGATTTCTTCCTGGATTGTAATTCATTACCAACAAGGTTCTCTGTGCTTACAGACTGGGCTGACAAGCGTTTTATCTGCACATTTTCTTCGCCAGACCTAGAATCCTGCTGTGCCTTCACATTTGCAAGAGCGGCGTAGAAACCATCAGCCAAACTTTCAGCCATAGTTCCCCTTTAGAATCAACATTTAGGGAATCTGTTGATAAAATATGAAACAAGCATATTGGAAATAAGTTAGAGGGTTTAGCATGCTTTAAAATAATAAACGATAATGAACAAAAGATGGGGATAAATGAATAGCAGGGGGGCAGTAAAACACACTTGTGAGACTTGAGGTCTTCTTACAGTTAGTAGGATAAGCAAATGTTTCAGAGGAACCTGCAATCTCCATCACATCACATCACATCCCAGAAAACAAGAAGTCTTCCAGATATTTGACAGAAGGGCTGTCTAACTCATGGCACATAGGCAGCACACAGCCTACAAGTTGGTTTTGTCAGCAGAAGATTGTCCTTCCATTCCCCAAAATGTATGCTAATGTTTTCCTCCTCTTTAAGAAAGGCATGTAATCTCAACCCTCTAAAAACGTGCTTGCTAAATATACAGCACTGCAATAGGAAGGTTATCAACCTGATACTAGGCACCAATAAAACAGGCAACATGGTAAGTCTGCGTGAATCTGATAAGAATTCTTTATACAGAGTGGCGCACAAAATGGTCCAGTATTTGATTCAGTATTAATTATTCAACCATGCAATGAACAATGTTTTGTGTGTATGTAACACACACTTACAGTAGATCATGGAGATTAGTTCTTACTCTTACTGAGTGTGCTAGTGTCACGCTGTTCCTGCTCAGGCTCCAGTTTACACAAGATGGTTGACAAAGGAAAACTGTCTGTATAACACTGCATAAAAACGTGTCATTCTTTACTGAAATTAGAAGTGTTGTGGTCACATGGAGGCAGTTTCATGCCCATTTTCAAACGCAATGGGCGCTCTCATTCAAAACAATTCATAAATTTTATAAACAGATTCGTAATGATGGTTCAATGTTGGTGACAAAATGTCACCAGCCTTCATCTGCACGTTCTCTGGAGAAAATTCATGATGCCAGAGTGGCGCTGCAAAAAAGCCCCAGTAAACCAACAAGGAAGACTGCGGCACATCTACAGACATCCAGGCACTTGGTACAACGAATATTCAAAAGTTATTTGAATTTTTATCCATACCAAATAACAGTGTTGCCAAAACTTAACAGTTCAAAACACACAAATTTCAAAGAATGGTACGTCCTGGATGGACTCAGATTAATGAGGTACTGTTCAACAATGTTTGGTTTTCTGCTGAGGCACAATTTCCACCTGAATGGTGTGGTTAAAATAGATGGTAGCTGCAAACATGTTGAAGAAGCAGTCGCGGACAGCCGACAAGGGGTGGTCCTCCAGCTTTGGGGTTGGGCATGGGGCTAACAACTCCTCACCATAAAAATAATCTTGTTACGAAAATTTGCAAGAAGCCTCAGACCTGGATGGAATCCTTGGATAAATGACCTAAGTGAAAGAATATGGATATGAAATTTGGTACTTGGAATGTTAGAAGTATGTAAATTGCAGGTTCGCTCAGGGCAGTGGCGAAATAAATCTCAAAATATAAGTTACATTTAGTGGGAGTACAGGGGGGTTAGATGGGGTGGAGGTGGCACCGAACCAGCAGGTGAATATATATTTTTATATAGAAAGGAGACTGAAAATCATGAATTAGGTACAGGTTTATTCATACATAACAGAATCATATCAGCAGTTAAGAGGGTGGAGTTCACTTGTGAAAGGATATCACAGATAACAGTAAGAGGCTGCTGGTGTGATATCGTTCTGAATGTTCATGTCCCAACAGAAGATAAAACTGATGATATAAACGTCAGGTTTTACGAAGAACTAGAACACATATTTGATATTTCGTTATGTATCATATAAAAATTTTGTTAGGAGATTTCAATGCCAAAGTAGGTAGGGAAGATACTTTCAAACCAACGAATGGGAATGAGAGTGTGCACGAAATTAGTAATGATAATGAGTTAGAGTAGTAAACTTTGCGACATCAAAAAATGTTACGGTTAAAAGTACGATGTTCCCACACTGTAACATTCATAAATGTACTTGGACATCTCCTGATGGGACGACGCATAACCAGATTGACCGTATTTTGATATAAAGGAGACAGCATTCGTGTATACCTGATGTCTGATCATTCAGGCCACCAGATTGTGATACTGACCAGTACCTGGTGGTGGCAAAGGTTAGGGAAAGACTGGCAGTGAGTAAGCAAACGTCACACAGAGTTCACATGCAGAGGTTCAATCTCAGGAAATTAAAGAAGGTAGAGAGTACGCAGAATCGTGTTGAACTCCCAAATAGGTTTGCAGCTTTGGAAAACTCAAGACACTGAGGTGGATGTTAACAGAGCTTGGGAAAGTATTAGAGAGAATATCAACATTTCTGCCAAAGAGAGTCTAGGTTACTATGAACAAACATAAGCCATGATTTAATTAAAGATGCTCAAAATTATTAGACCAAAGGAAACAAACTAAACTGTAGTGAGTACGGGATCCAAGTGAAATAAATGGGGATAATCTGAGTATAAGACATGAAACCAACAGACATTTCAGGAATAAAAAGAGGAAATATATGAAACACAATATGAGCTTGCAATGAACAGTAAGAACAAGAACATTAGAGACCTGTATAGAAGAATAAATGATTTGAAGAGGGTTTACCAAACTAGAATTAACTTAGTGAAGGACGAGAATGGTGAAACTGCTTGCAGATTCCCATACCATTTTGAATAGGTGGAAGAACTACTTATCTCAGTTATTGAATGCACACAGGGTCAGTGATGTTAGGAAGATAGAAATACATATATAGCTGAGCTGTCAGTACCTGATCCTAGCCCTTTTGAGGTTGAAAGTGCTATTGCAAAATTGAAACGGTATAAATCGCCAGGTAGTTATCAAATTCCGGCAGAACCTGTTCAAGCAGGTGGCGAAAAATTACATTCTAAGATCCATAAGCTTGTTACTTCTATCTGGCATAAGGAAAAATTGCCTGATCAGTGGAAGGAGTCTTATTATTGTACCAGTTCACAAGAATGGCGATAAAACTGACTGTAGTTAATTATCGGGGGATATCACTGTTATCAACTTCATATAAAATTTTATCCAATAATCTTCTCCCAAGATCAAGTCCATACATAGATAAAATTATTGGGGATCATCAGTGTGGGTTTTGCCATAACATGTCAACTACTGATCAGATATTTTGCATTTGTCAGATACTGGAGAAAAAATGGGAGTACTCATACAATGAGACAGTACATCTGCTATTCACAGACTTCAAGAAAGCCTATGATTCAGTTAGGAAATGCATAGTAAAGTCCATATAGGTAAACACTTGTCTGATAATTCTTCTGTCTAGAATGGTCTAAAACTAGGAGACACTCACTTTATTGCCACGACTTTTCAACTTTGCTTTAGAATATGCCACTAGGAACGTCCAGGAAAATCAGATGGGGCAAATTAAACGGGATACATCAGCCGTTGGTCTATGTTGATAATGTGAATCTACTGGGTGATATTAAAGATACCAAAAAGAAAAACACACAAACTTTAATTATTGCCAGTAAGGAGGTTGGTCTAGAAGTAAACACAGAGAAAACTATTATGTACTGCTGTCTCGTTACCAAAATGCAGAGCAAAATCATGACATAAAGGTAGGTAATAGATGTTTTGAAATGTGGCAAAGTTCAGATATTTGGAAACGACTGTAATAAATCAAAACCTGATTCATGAGGAAATTAAGAGGAAGACTGAACTCAGGTAATGCTTGCTACCATTCAGTCCAGAACCTTCTGATTTCTCATCTGCTGTCTAATGACATAAAAATTAGAATATACAAAACTATAATTTTGCCTGTGGTTCTGTGTGGATGTGAAACTTGGTCTCTGACATTAAGAGAGGAACAGAGATTAAGGGTGTTTGAGAACAGGATGTTGAGGAGAATATTTGGATAGAAGGGAGATGAAGTGACAGAGGTTGGCAAAACTACATAATGAGGGGCTTCATTACTTGTACACCTCTCCAAGTATAATTAGAATGATCACGTTAAGTAGGATGAGATGGGCGGGGCATGTAGCACGAATGAGGGCGAAGAGAAATGTATATAGGATATCGGTGGTCAAGCCAGAAGGAAAGAGACCACTGGGAAGACCATGGCATAGGTGGGTGGACAATATTAATATGGATCTTGGAGAGAGACAATGAGATGGTATGGACTGGTTTGATCTGGCTCAGGATAGGGACCAGTGGAGGGCTCTTGTGAACATGGTAATGAACCTTCAGGTTCCATAAAATGCTGGGAAGTTCTTGAGTATCTGCACAATTGGCAGCATCTCAAGGACTCAGCTCCATGAGCGAGTGAGTGGTGTGGTTAATAAACAAAACGTGTGATTTTGGGCATCAGAGAATCCATGTGTGCTTCATGAGAAGGTACATCATGCACCAAGAATTACAGTGTATATCACCTCAATTGATATACTGCTATGGGCAATTTTTTTAAGAGACAGTGAACAATGAGCACTATTTAAGCATGTTGCAAAATACTTTTGTGCCTCAACTTCTTGCTACAGGTTTGCCGTTACAAACTCAGTGATTCATGCAGGATGGAGACAGGCTGCACACAGCAAATGCTATTTTGAACTTTGTGCATGACACTTTCAACTCGCATGTCATCTCAAACCAATTTCCTGATTGTTTTGCATGTACTCGTACACAGAACTGAGCCCCGAACAGTCCTGATTTAAATCCATGTTGACTACTTTCTTTGGGGAATCCTTAAGGAAAAGATTTCTCCGAAAAAGCCGCTAACATAATGGAATTGAGAACACAATTCATTCAGGCCTGCAACAGGATACCTGAGGATATGTACCACAGAGCAATCAATAATATCAAAGCTCATGCTGAAGTTGCCAGACATAATGGTGGTCATACTGAGCACTTGATTCACAGAGGATATATCTCCATGCAATGGTCTTTTTTTTAATGTTAGTTTCTAGTATTGTAACTGAAATAAAGATTTCATTAATAGATCAAATACTCGATCTATGATCACAAATACATACAGGTAACATAACAACCAAAATTACTTTCCATGTTCTCCAAGAGAAGCAACAGGAAATCACAAAGTATTCACTCAGTACAAAATACAGATCTGACTGTAGACACATTACAATAGGATATAATCTTGTCTTATTACCAGGTCCCTTGATGTAATACAGAGCTGGGTACGTCGACAGTCGAAACAAGAACCCAGTACAACAGACCCAAAAGGGGGAGAGAATTGGGAATCATGTAAGGAGGCTCTTACCAACTACAGAAAGGATATTAAAAAAGCCAAAGATCTTCATGAAGGTGGTCTTGTCACATGATCAAAGATGCACCAGGCTGTCTGACTCATGAAAGTCATGGAAAAACAGGCACTAACAGGGTTAAGTACTACAAAGCTACTTGATGTTCAACACACTCATGCTAAAACTGAGCCTCTAAAGTGCTGCAGCCAAAATTCCAGATTCAAGGGTAAATAATGAATTGGCAGGGACAGCTGGACCTGGGGGTGTGTGTGGGTGTGCAAAATAAAACCCACACTCCAGCATGGACCTCTCCCCTATGCTGCATATTTACCTCCTGTCTGGCATATGTACATATTCCTGATGATTGGAAATTGCTGAAAATGACAGTTACGGTGCTGCACGTACTCTGACTACTGACATGACGTAAAGATTCAGAGTAGAAAGTCTGCTTAACCTTGTGGACTTGTCTATTATTTCCTACCTTCTCCCACTATTTTGGCTGTGACTTTCTTCCATTATCAGTAATATGAGCCACACAGTAACAAAAATGTAATTATACCTACATCAACTTCATCCACAATTTTAAATCCCTAAGAAAATTATATGATCAAACCACACAGCTAGTCACTTTTGTCAAAGACTCTTAACTGCTCCTACATGTTATGAGTGAATCTTCTTCAGTGACTGAGTTTCCAGAATTTGTTTTTGGGCCTTAAGCAATATTATGTGCATTAGAATTCTGCTATTGGGAGTTACAGCAGCAATCTGTGAGGATTGTTGGGCGTGGTCAGCGGTATTGCGAAGTTTCCTCCTTAACTGAATGCAATGTATTTGGGTTTACAAAACCTTATGTAATAATAATAATCATCAATCAGTCCTCATATTATAACCATATATGACACATACTCTCAGCTTGAAGAGTCAACTGCTTCATTCCTGAATCCTTCAGGCAAATTTTCAAACATCTGTCTCTATATTACACATATTCTCTGACCTTTCTAAATACTAGAAACACTTTCCATTATCCCATACAGCAGAGGACTCAAGATTTCTTGAAACTTTCGCTGCGACTGACACTCAGAGGATTGCAACATTATTTTAAAACATTTTGTTCTTTGACACTTGCAGCCATTCTTAACTTCACAATAAATTAAAATATGTTCTGCACTTCACCAAACCACTATAAAATTGGTCACAAAAGGAAATTCAACTTAACTCTAACAACATCAGGTATGAACTGAAACATTGTGTGAGCCACAACACCCTACAGGATGTCTCCACTATTAAACAAATCACTAAAAAAACATAAAATCATATCTTCTCATCCCTTTCATGTCCCAACTTTCCAAAGTACTCAAATGGCATTAGGTTTTGTGGAAAGAACTTGTAAGAACAAGCTCTTTATTTTATTTTGTTGTAAAATTATTGGACTTTTTCTGAATCTGAACTTGGCACAATTTAAGGAAAATATAACATTTCAAAATGCTATATCTCTGCAATTAATGAACACAGGAAGGTCTCTCTTGAAAAACTGTATTAGAATTGGACTATTTTTTTATTGCTAGTGGGGTGGGACCAAATCTCTTGTACTGTGGCCACTTCTGGCCTATTGTACCAGCCCCAGATGACAGGTGGGGGTGATTGTGGAGCAATTGGTGGAATGAAGATTGGCAGGGGTAACCGAAGTACTGGGAGAAAACCTGCGCCACCGCCACTTTGTCCAACACAAATCCCACTTGACCAGACCCGGGATCGAACCCGGGCAGCAGCGTTGGGAAGCTAGCGACTAACCGCTTGAGCTATGGCGCGGCCATAGAATCGGATTAAGTCCAGAAGATTTTGTCCCTATGATGACAATGAACGACCTGAACTCCTTATCTTACATTATGTATAGCATCACTGTGTAAAAAAAATGGATGGGGCGCCCCCAGTATTAGAAACGGTACAGGAGTACCGCCCTGTTCAAAATCCTCTTACAGAATTTATGTACCCACTGTCGTCCCCATTTCGGAAGCCAAACTCCAAAAATCACATTAATAACCCCTAAACAGAACAAGTCAGGCACAATAATGAAACGCGAAGCACTGTCTCCATTCTCGTTCCCCAGTGAAGATCACTTCAAGGTGTACAGTTCCGAGGGTTCCGAGGCTTTCACTTGGGCAATTACAGCAAGTTTTTTCAGATATGTGGGCAGCACAGTCAAGGAGTTCAGGCTACTTTCTTCACACTCAATATGAAATTCTAGATGCATATTACTAGCTTTCACCAATGAAACCATACGTATACATACCTTCACAATCTGATATTCTTGGTGATTCACACCACATAACAAACACAACCACTCCTACTTCCTTTCGTTCCCTTCGTGTGCGGAGAATCCGTTTTGTCACAGACAGATCGCTAGTGGTCGCTCGTGGCGGTAGCCATTTTGAAATTGTGTTTTGTGGTTTTGCTTGGTCAGCTTTTGAAGTTTTCTTTATTTAATGAAATTAAATTTACCAAATCCGTGTCATATGTAATGTGTTTAATACGTTTGAAAACCGTGTGGACATAATGTTTTGCAAGTAAGTGAAGAATGATTATGTTACGTAGGAATATGTGTAGATCTTCATGTTCGTGTTGTATATGTTGGTAATACTTATATACGCATGTCGTACAATCTAATGAATCTAACCACATGGCTGTCCCAGTCAGTCTAGTGGTCTAGTGCGGTCTAGTGCTCACGATCCACGGCGAGGGACTGGAAGTGCAAAGGGGCCCAGCAAAATAGAGCTTTTAACAATCCTGTCTGTATAAATGAAGCAGAATGAGTTTATAAAGCAAAATGGTTAGAAGAAACTGCGGACTGCAGACTGTGTGTAGTTAAAAAAGATCATTAGAAAAAGACATCTGAATAACCTGTAGTTGGATTATAATTAATGATCTTGTAAGCATTATATAATTGTTACTATTTGTTTCACAGTTCTGGAGAGGCTCCTGTGAAGAGGCTGTTATTGCAACAGATCTGTGAAGACATCCTGTATGGAAAGTAATGTAGCACACGAAATGATCTCTAGTGGTCTGCGACTAAACATCATTTGTGAGTCTGTAGCTGCATATTCCTAGAGGCCTTAGACACCACATCATTTTTTAATTATATAATTTAATTTATGTTGATCCATACTGGTACAACCATTGGATATAGAGATCTGCTGTCCTGATAGAGGTCTTTCTTAGTTTTGTTCAGATGCAGAACAGTTCCTCAAATTAGGCCTATCCACAGCCTTTCCAATTAATTATTTGCTGATAATCCATTGTTGAGTGCTGTAGAGTCTAGCTTAGTATAGGGTGCAAAGTGTATCAGCAGATGTAGGCAGGGGCATGAAGCTGGCAAGGGAACAAGGCACACAGGTCAGTGGGACTGGGCCAGATTGATTGTAATATGTAATCGTGTGAGGATTTATGTGATTCTTATTCTTATTTGTTTACACCTGCCCCACAGCACGACCAAGGGAGTGGCAGTTTGTGTGCCTCGTTGGGTGTTTGAGTGTTGCACTGTGTTGAAATGGTAAAGAGTACTGATATTTTGGAGGACTCTGATGGCACTTGTTATCAACTTGCAGATGAAACCTCAGCAGCCATTACCATTTTGACGTGGTGCTCTACCCAGGACCCAGAGTGTTTTTCTCCACTGCATGATGTCCATGAGGAGCCTCTGACTTCAGACTGAGAGTGACCAGCATGGTTCTGCACTCCCTGTTGCATGGGAACTTCTGGGAGTCTGTACTGCAAAGGTTAGTGCCTCTTGTAGTTCTGAACTCATTGTCAGTGGGATTATCTCGATTTAGCAAACTTGTGGGTTAACGCACTTCAAGAAAATCAGAATATGTGGTGAAATCCAAAAGTTCCCGAAATATATTAATAAAAACTATTATGTCTTACCTGGATCTTATTCTGCACCATCACCTTCAAAGTAGTCCCCTTGGGAGCGCATGCACCGATCCCAGCGTTTCTGCCACTTTTGAAATGCACCCTGGAAGTCTTTCTTTGTTAGGGTGTTTAGTACTGTCTGTGTTTCCACTTAAATTTCCCCAGCTGTATCAAATCTTTGCCCCTTCAACTTGATTTTTATCTTGGGGAAGAGAAAGAAGTTGCATGGAGCTAAGTCTGGCGAGTAGAGTTGGTGGGGAACAACTGCCAGCTTGTTTTTAGCCAAAAATTCCTGCACAATGTAAGCCGTATCCGGTCGTGGGTTGTCATGGTGTAGTACCCAGTCGTTCGTGTATCACTTCTCTGGACGTTTTCTCCTCATGTCCTCTCTCAAACGCCTTAGAACATCGCGATAGAACTCTTTATTGATTTTCTGACCAGGAGGGATGAACTCCTTATGAACAAACCCGTCAGTATCAAAAAAAGAGATGAACATGGACTTAATGTTGCTCTTGACTTGTCTAGCTTTTTTTTTTTGGCCGAGGTGAAGAAGGGCTCTTCCATTGTGACGATTGCTGCTTACTTGCAGGGTCGTAGCCATAAACCCAACTTTCGTCACCAGTGACAACCTTCGAAAGAAAGTCTGGATCCTCTTGAAGCTGTTGTTGAAGTTCCCTGCAGACTTCCAAGCGATGCTGCTTCTGTTCATTTTGCAGCAGTCATGGCACAGACTTCGCCGCAATCCTCATGTTCAGTTCCTCTGACAAAATTCGTTGACATGTACCATAACCTAGTCCCAAGGTGTTACAGAGGTCTTGGATTGTCAGTCTATGATCTTGTAGAATCAGATCCCTAATTTTCACGACATTTTTTGGTGTGGTGCCAGGTGACGGCCATCCCAAACGATTGTTATCAGTCGATTTTTGGCCATTTTTGAAAAGCTTATACCAGTTGTAAGTTTGTATCTGGCCTAAAGTGCTGTCACCAAAAGCTTGCTTCAACATCTGGTGTGTTTCTGCAGCGGTTAATGCAGACACGCTGCTCTCTCGGGTCAGCCATCGCCAAACTGCAGACTCACGGAAACACAACAGTGGAAATACGTTCACCAACAATAAACCCAACCACTCAACTTGACGGCACTTCCCACACTGATTCATGAAGGGTGTGTGGGGAGACACCTAGTGGTATTTCAATGTACTCACAACCATTTGCACGCAAAATTCAAATTTTGGGAACTCTTGGATTGCACCACGTATTTTACCAAGTTATAACTTATAGTGCCCTCAGATTTAGAATTTGTCTTAAAGCCTTATATGTGTGCTCTATGTTGGTAATACTTGAGTGGCATCGTTGAAGGGAAGCCATTCCCAGAGATGAAGGATGCCAAGTTTCTGAGTGTGCAGCGGCCACACAGCATCTTCCTCTCCATTCCTCTCTTCAGCTGTCTCGCTCATGCAGGGAGTTCCTCTACTAGAGGTGTGTGTCATGCAAGAAGTACCTCTTTCATCCAATTTGGAAAAATTCTGGAGAATTTGAATGTTCTTGGTACAGGTTAGTTCTTGTGTATTGCTTGAGGTGATTACTCTGACAACATGTGAGCAAAATAGAAAGATAATTTAATGGTATAGAAATGGAAACAAGGAGGACATTGATGTCAGTGTAAGAGTTAATGGAGTTGAAACCAGAATGATAGGGTGACCCCAGCAGATGCTTGCATTCAGGCAGGGTGGGTTGGGCTAGATTATTTTGTTTTATTTTATATAGCAACACAGCCAGGAGCTGAGACTATGTAGCGTTAAACTGTCAAGTCAGTTCCCTGTACTCGTGTTTATTGCCTGTAACTTTTTCAGTCTATAAATTGCGGTGTTTTCCACAGGCTTTGTTGCTTGCTGTCCCTGATCATTTTCTGTAAGAATTTCTGTATGTAGGCAGGAAATATTTCATCTCACAGTTAGCAGTCTTTAGTTATGAAATGTGTCTCAGACCAGCTAAAACAAAATACAAACTCTGTGGTTTTAGTCCGTAAGCAAACTGTACCGACCGAGCGACTGCTGCTTGTTGGCGAAGTTAATGCCAACTTTAGGGGATAGAGGGTGTTGCGTGGTCAGCACAATGAATCCCCCTAGCCGTTAATTTCGGTTTTCTAGACTGTAGCTGCTGTTTCCTTGAAATAGCTCCTCAATTATCACAAGGCTGAGTGGACCCCGTTCCAGACCCACTAGTTTTCAGAAAATCTTGTGGCGCCGGGAATCGAGCCTGGGACCTCTGGATTTGTAGCCAGGAACTCTGACCACTAGACCGCAGACCAGCCAACATGGAAAATAGTGTAACTGCAGAGAAGCTTATACTAATGTTGCTTTTTCAAAAAAAAAATTTAATTCTGATGGGTAGTTTACAAAATGTGGGACATTTTGAACATGTGAACAGGGTGTTACACAACAATTTTAATTCTTCTTGATAGGGATGATTAAAAAAACAGGCTGAAGATTAAATGATTGGGTGAATAGTGAATTTAGAAGGATGTTTTAAGGAAATGGTTATGACCTGATTAGAGGTGCTATCCTGGCATGTGTGTAGGGACTGAGGAAAACTGGACAAGATCTAAACCTGACACAAATCAGAAGTTTACTACTTTCTGGGACTTGCTTTGTTTGGGGTGCTAGAGGACTGATTATGTCAGCACCTAGTTGCATCATTCTTAGGCCAGATTGTAAAGTGTAATTGTGTGAGGATTCATGATTGTTCCCATTTGCTGACAGCTGAGGAGAGCCTTCAGTGAAGAGACTACCGTCCCACAGTGAGACTAAGGGAGTAGCAGTATATGTCCCTTGTAGGATCTTTCATTATAGCACTGTGTTGAACTGGTAAAGAGTACTGATATTTTGGAGGTCTTTGCTGCCACTTTCTATTAACGCAGTAAGCGAAACGACAGTAATCATTACCGTTTTAACATGGTGCTATACCTGGATCTAGAGCATTGTCCCCCGCTGCACGAGTTCAGATTGAGAACAAACAACAAGTTTCTGCACTCCCTGGTACTGCTTGGACTCTGGGCACCAAAGGTTAGTGTTTCTTGTGCTGAGCTCAGTGTCAGGGGATCATCTTGAATTAGCAAACTCATAGGTTAGAGCACTTCAACTGAATTGCAGTATGTAACCCAGTCATGATACACAGTGTAAGCCTTATCCGTGTGCTCTATGTTGGCAGTCTTGGAGTAGTGTCCATGAAGGGAAGCTCTTCCCAGCGATGAAGGATGCTGAGTTTCTGGGCGATCAGGAGCCACACAGCATCTTCCTCTCTTTACCTTTCTCACCCGTCCAGGGAGCTCCTGTACTAAAAGTGTGTGTCATGTCACGTACCATTACAGATTGACCCAGTTGGGCAGGTCACATTGCTTCAGTGTTTTTGAACATTTTTTTTATCAGCAGACAGGCCCTTTGTTCAGAAAACCAAAAATCATATACCCTTTCTCAGTGAGAAGTTAATCTTTACCTTAAACTACATGTTGTGCAGTGTATTGAATGCGCAACAGTGCGGAGTTCGTTCATGTCACTCAGGTGCGTCCGTCTGTACAGATGATAAACTCAAGAACCACATAATGAAGTTTCATGGAATTTTATATTTGAGAACTTGTGAAGAATTGTTGTCCACCCTTTCTTTTTAAATGCAGAAATGCATGTTGGACATCTTGTAAGTTGATCTCATATGTAGCTCACTAAATACTTATCAGAGCCAAAACGTGCGGAGCAAAAATTCTAGAGGAAAATAAAATACATACTTCATGCTCTCTACACTTTTACCTGTAAGTCTGTTTTTTTTAAAGATAATTGAACATATCAAATACAGTGTGTACATTTCCAAATTTTTGTATCGAACAATCACAATTTTCTGATGATTCCTCAATCTTGAATTGCCTGTGTTTTGTCATTATTTGTGCATCTTTTCACCTTTGTGTATAATGGGCAGTACACCGGCGTGTTGTAGCACGAGAAGAGTTGAACGAACTGCCTTGATCATTGTGTGTAAACAGCAAATCAGTGCAAATGCATTGCACGTACATCCTCATAGAGAGTGTAGTGTTATTTTCCTGGCGGTACCACCTGTGTAGTTCCATTCTTCAAGATGTCTTCATAAATTAGTGAAATTTAATGAAAATCAGAGGTATTTTTGAGGGAATCTCAATTTTGTTTTCTGAGGCAAATGAGGTGTCTGTTTTTAGGGTTAGAATGTTCATAGTCTCTGGGCACCAACCTGTGGTAGATAAACCCTTGAATACTCAACAAGAAGTTCTGGGAGGAACTGATCGCTTACTTTCCTTTCCTTTCACTACAAATTGAATATTTGATATGGCAGATGGGGCAGACTTTGTTATGTATGCATAAGAAAATCAGGGAAACAATAATATAAACTCAAGTTTTTTATGGAACCTGAATTATGCATGAATTAGAACTATTTAAAGTGGTGATGTTGTTGCCAGAGCCTCATCAGTGAGAACAGGGTGCAACATAGGAAGGTGAGGATGACTGTAGGATAGGAGAGGTTTCATTGTTGGTATTACTGATGGGAGGGATCTGTGAAGTATGCCATTGAGATGGCCTTGGGTAGCATGATGTATGTACCAGATTTCATAACATTCGGTTCAAGTGTTTGAGTAATTTAAGGGGGTGTTAATGTTTATATTGCTGATGGGAGGGATTTATGAAGTATGCCATTGAGATGGGCTCAGGTGCCATGATAAACATGCCAAGGAATTTAGGGTGAGGGGGATACCGACAGCAAGGTGATCTCATAACCATTGATGGGCGGCTGAGTGGAACAGCTCACCTGAAGGAACTGGGAACCATGTTCTGAGCAGTAGAGCCAGGGCTAGGGACTCATGTGCAGGGAAGGAAGGTCAGCTGACTGGACAGTACTGACAGTAGAGCCATCATGCTNGTGGACGAGACTGGCAGTAAAGCCATCCTTCTTCCCCCCCCCCCCCCCCCACGTGCAGAGGAGGCAGTGCACTAGTCTGACTAGGCCAGTGCTAGTAATGAGATCCCACCTTTTGCTGATTGGTTGTAATTTTTGTAAATAATAAATATAAAGGAAAAGAATAAGATGAGGGTCATGATCACAAGGGATGCTTGTAGATATAGGAAGTGGGATTTCAGACATTGCTTGATAGGATAGATCAGGCATGTCCAACGCGTCGATCGCGGGATGATTTTTGGTCGATCTCATACATCTATAAGGAAATTATATGTGAAAAGCATGTAAATTCACTTGTAATATAATATGATTATATTCAGGGAAGGGAAAATGCGTGTTAAAGTAGTCTGTACTTTCGATGTATGTTGTTTTTACAACAAACATCATGTGTTGAGTTATTTTTACCAATATTTTTGCTTAAAGTGAGGTACGACGATAGGAGGGGGTGGTAGATCACTGCCAGTTTTGACACTAAAAAGTTGATCATAACCTGTTTGAAGTTGTACTTGCCTGGGATAGATGAAGGGATGTAAAGAGATTGGGATGTGAACAGGGTGCAAAATAGATGCCAGTAAATGTGCAGTCCAGTGGAGTGACTGGGGCAAACTTAGTGATAGAGCAGGAGGCCATAAAGTAAAGTAAAGGTATCCCTGTAACAGGCCATGGAGGCTCATAGGGTTGTGAAATGTTGAGGTTCCCACGTTTTCTAGACAATCAGCTCGTAGATGGTGGCAAGGCTGCCCTTTACCCCCAAGAATATTCTAGGAATATTCCTGGTACTCATTTCTGTTAGAGGCTGAGTCGACCCCCGGACAATATTGCGCCTGGAAGAATTAGGTCAATTGAAAAAAATCCAGTGACCTCGTAGGGACTTGAACCTGTGACCTACCGGCTTGTAGCATAGTGCTTCAACCAACTACGCTACTGTGTGCCATATCCAATGCAAAAAGGCCCGACTAATTACTGGATCTCCAGGAAGATACCCCATGAAGTGAGAGAACACCACACAGGGATTACTGCTCAGTGCAGCCTGTAATTTCCAAACCCAGGTGAGACTGGGCCATTGTCTTTAATTGGGGAGGATCTGAACTCAATCCAGAAGTCCTGCAATCACAACCCAAAAGTTATGAACAGGTGCTTCCACCTATGCATAGATTGAAAGAGATTGTTATATGATGTAGCATATACTGCTGTCTTTAGGTGACCTTCACCATACCAATAGATTTTTCATATTAGTAGGCTTATGAGATTGTCTTGCTGTCTTCATATCCCCCTCCAATTTTTTGTTTTGTTTTTTATGTGGTCCGTGACACATTTAAGGAAAGTAGGCAGTTAGTTCTGCCAATAACTCATTTTTATTCTGATATTAGTGGCAGAAGTTGCAATCGAATGCAGGACCTTCTGAAGAAGAGACCACTGGGGTGGTCGGCTGCACAGCCAAGGGTTTGGAGTGCAAGTCCAGGTAAGGGCAAGCTTTTTCTCCTCTCCATGTCATCCAGACCAGTACTGGACCTGTTTTGCCCCCAGGAATTGTTAGAATAGTACATTTGTTTGCTTCCTGTCTCATAGTGGGGGCATACATGGAGCTGACAAGAATGCTTGGATGGCTGATGGCCTGCTCTGTTCTGAAATATGTATTTGGAGCCTGAAACAACCTGTATTTGTCAACAGTGGGAAAGGCCATCAGCCAACCAAGTGTAGGTGTGAGGTCATGTGTTCCCCTTGTATGAGACACTTTCTTGTATGCGCTCAACAGCCACAATGTTCTCCTGCCCAGAGACAGAAAAAAATATCTACTTGGAATATACAATCTTAATAGTATTCATCGTGTTGTGTTATAAACAAGGTACATAAAATGTATACAAAAGTATGCAGTCTGCAAAACAATAATTTTCTGTATTTAAAACAAAGTAGCCATTATCGTATCAACATTTGCTTTTATTGATGTTACATGTTTATGCATTTAAAAACACTCAAGTGCACAATAAGGATTCTTATTCAAGAATTAGATGCAATTCAACAACTGAGACTGGTATCATTGTATGACTGATGATGACCCAGTATAAGTGTCGAAACGTAGCGTCAATAAAAACAAATGTTGATACGATAGTGTCTACTTTGTTTTAAACACAGAATATTGTTGTGTTGACTGCATAGTTTGGTATACATTTTATGTACCTTACTTAGAAGATAAACTATTTTAAGTCTGTGGTGGTCCATTCTTGAGAAAACTGACATTTCATATTTGTGCCACTCGAGGGCATACCGTTATATTCCTCAGGATACTCCCTGTGCAGTACCTATTTAGGGAGACGGTTTTCATGAATAACAGAGAAAATCTAAATTACTGAAGCTGTTTTTGAGGAAACTGCAGTTTTCTGTTGGGGGGGGGGGGCTAATGAAGGCATTCCCTGGGCACCAACATATCACGGGCGGTGTCTGAATATGAATAAAGGGAATGTAATTATGGGAGGATTAATATTGTTACTTCTTGTTGACAGGTCTGAAGAGATCACCACCCCACATAAGAAAGGATACCATAATACTGGACTGAGGAAGTGGTGGTTGAGACTTCGGAGAAATTTATGTTCCTCGTAGGATATCTGGGTGTAGCAGTGTGTTAAAATGGTAAAGATGGCTGATATGTGGAAGAAACTTTAGTGATGTTTACTGTTTTGACATGGTGCTGGACCTGGACTTGGGAAGAGCCCTTCCTCACTGCAAGATGCCCACGAGGAGCTGTATGAATTCAGACTGAGAGATACGAGCAAGGTTTTGCAGTGGCTGTTGCACAGGACTTACTGGGAGTCTGTGACTTGAAGGTTAGTGCCTCCTGTGATCCTAAATCAAGCATCTCGATATAAAATTCTTTATTAGAATCCGTCACAACACCAAAATGAAACTGTTAATGTTTAGCAATATTTAGCTACATGTTTCGGCTTTTTAGAAAGCCATCTTCAGGCAAATACACAATTACCAGATTTTTAAACTATTGAACTGCATTTTATATGATTGGTACAATAGTGCTGGATTCTTGACAAATATATCACAATATAGTAATATAAAATACAATGAAGATACAGATCTTTTAAAAGAATAAGTTATACAACTAAAAGCTATCTGTGTAATATGTCTTATTTCGTATGTTGTTGCATTCATATTATGTTTTTTTTCTTGTTTTTGCAGACATATGGCAATAGTTTTCTTACCATATACATGAATGAAGTTGGTTAACTACTCCGTTTGTATGCGTGGATTATTATTTGGTTTTTATATTATTTGACAGGTACCTCATTTTACGTGTATTATGTCTGGTCGGGTAGGAAGACAGATTGCAACTGAAGCAAGCATCTTGAATCAGGAGTCTGCTTCATAGAAATAAAATTTTGACCAGTCATAATGTGTTCAGATGAACAGTTGGTGACACGCTCTCTATATAATTGTTCCTATATGTTGGCAGTCCTGGAGGGGCTAGTCAGCAAGTTCTGTGCAGTGTCTTCGCCTCATGAACTACCCACCATCTGCGATCACCTGTGGTGCTAAAGGTACGTGTCACACGGGGTACCTCTAGCTTTCTTGTCTGAATGTTTGGAAACACTGACAGAGATTGTAAATGTTCTTGGTACAAGTCAATTCGTACAGCAGTGCTCGAGGCAATTGCCTGTCCAGGTAACAATGTCATTAGCAGGGCCCGGATTTTGATGACATGTCATTTTTTTTTCCTTGTATCCTATGCGATGCTCTTAAATGTATAAATCTCGGATATGAGCTGCTGGTTACAGAAATGTAAATTTTATAGGTAATTTTTTGGACTTTTTAGGGTATTTCTCGTCATTTTTGGCCATTTTAAGGAATTTTTCTTCATATGTTCTCTGAAATGTGAATAACATGGAAGTGAAGTGTTCTTTCTTTTCTCCTTTAGGTCATTTTTCTGGATTTCTTTGGTCATTTTTTGAATATTTTCAGTTCGTCAAAATCCGGGCCCTGCATATTACATTTCTGGGTCATTTTTTAAATATTTTCAGGTCTTCAAAATCCGGGCCCTGGTCATTAGTAACACAGTTTGAGTCTGAACCAAATTAGTGGGGTCCTAAGGCAGATAGAGAGTGAGTTAAGTTGCCAAAACCTGATATTCAGGTGACAGTGTGGGGTTGAAGGGCCACATTCTTGTGTTTTATTTATTTGTTCATCTATGGAAATCCAATATAATAATAAACTTGCAATTAGTGACTGCAGTTATTTATTTTGAATCCACCTCATGGTGGTGTATCATGATCAAAACATGCAGTTCAATATATAAATTTAATTGTGACAGTGTTGTCTGTTTGATATCATTGTCAAGTCGATGTTGTGTCTGCGACACCCATTTTACAGTGATATTATAACACAAGAGGATTCAGATAATTATAGATATAAACTTCTGATTGCACTAATACAGAAAATTCTTGTTCTTGAAATTTTTCCAAATTTTCTCTCCTGTCTGGACTGAAAATTATTTTCTCGTCTGTCTGGTATGGGAATGAGGGTGTGCCATCAGTTGGTGACATAAACAGTTATGTCACTAGAATGGCAGTAAATTCCAAATTCAGTGTATTTCCAGTATTCATACAGTAGTTGGATATAGGATTAATGAATTGAAATGGGTATGGCAGGAAGCGTTTATCCGATTTCTTATACTATCTTGGCATTTGCCTGGAGAGATGGAGGAAAAGCACAAAACCTCAGTCTGGATAGCTGTCATCCCAGCTGAGATTTGAACCGGGCACTTTACAAGTCAGCAGTGTTGCCACCACAAGCCCACCTCTTGTCTTGAGTACATCCACACCTAGAGAGGGAGCAGTAGATTTGAACAGTAAGCTGAAGACAATCTTATGTAGATGTATGATTATTGATCCCCCAAATTGGGCATTAGATAAGGAAAAATCTTAAGAGCATTAAGTGTTTGGGTACAGCACTCTGTGGAATGGTAGACTACTGACATTGGGGACGAGCTTCCCAACACTCTCTTTGGTTGACACTTGGCAGTAAGCATTGTGCTTTAGAGTATGCCATTAGGAAGGTCCAGGAAAACCTGGTGAAACTGAAATTAAATAGGTACATCAGCTGTTTGTCTCTGCTGATTATGTGAATCTACTGGGAGATAATACAGATACCATAAAAATTATTGAAACCTTAATTGACACTAGTAAGGAGGTTGGTCTAGAAGTAAACAGAGAAAACTAAGTATATGTTGCTGTCTCACAACCAGAATGCAGGGCAAAATCATGACATGAATTCTTCATGCCCTTTATGTCATAATGAATTTTATTAGAATATTAAATTGCTGAATTATGCTCACAATGTAAATACAGTAGAACTTGGTTATAACGTCATCAAAGTGACCTAAAAATAGTGTCGTTATAAACAAATGTCATCATAACCGAAATGGGCACTTCCACAGTAGCTTTATGTTAGTCACATAAAAATCTACCAAAAACCGAGTTAAAATGTTGCATTTTTTAGTGAAATACGTAGTTAAGTACAGACTAACGTAACAGTAACGTGGAATTAATATGGATTCTCCATATCGTTTGTACTGTAGAATTCACCAAACCAAATTCGCGGCATACAT